CCAAGCCATGGAGCATGCTTTAACTAGCAGGGTCTGTAATGAAATCTGATTTTCGAAACGACTTCGCACCCCGCAGGCTGAAACCGAACCCCACCCCCTCCCACTCCCATCCGGACCTCTGGGAGTTCTAAGTGGCTGCTGCTGTTGTTGCTGCGGCTTCTCCTGCATCCGTTCGTTTTCATGCCCATTATCCACATAATTCTGCCTCCTGTCCCCTCTCTGCCCGTGGCTAGGGGTCGACCGCGTGGGATAATTAGGATCGTACAGTTGCCTATTGGGTTTGTTATTGTGATTGGTAATGGGTGATATCTCCTTCCTCTCCCTACTGTCCCTGTTGCCGGCGTTAGGCCGACCGGTCCTCCCCTTACTCCTCATACCAGGACCTGATCGGTGAGAATGGGAATGAACCTGCGACTGTGATGGTGGTGGCGTCGTTCTCGTGTTACCCGGCGAAGAGGCACCCGACCCAGCCGCCGACGGACTCCCAAACAGCCGCTCTCTTACCTCCTCGTACTTGCGCTGTCTCTCCTCGCGTTCCCGCTCGCGCTGTGCCTGCAGCTCTTCCGGTGTTAGCTTCGGCCTTTCCTCTCCATCATCGTCGTCGTCACCATCGTCGTAGTCGTTAGTTAGAATTTCCGGAGACATCGCGATAGTGGCAGTGCCCGAGACAGAGAGATGTTGGATACCTGCCGTTGCGGCGTCCGTAGCACCCGAAACGGGAGGGGTTGGGATTGGGGAGATGCCAGAGGGTGATTGTGATTGCGAGTTCAGTTGCTTGACGAGTTGGGGTTTCCGGCTTAGGACAGTCACTGGCTGCTTGAAGTCAGATCTCATCGGGACGGAGGCGGCTCGTGATTCTAGGTAGTGGAAGGTTTGGGGGGATTCTCTGTTAGGAGGGAGGATAGAGTTAGCTGGGATAATTTCCTTTTGCTCATTTCCCAATTGTGGCATGAACAATGTGATGGACGCTCAAGGGGGTACAGTGACGGCGCTTTATGTCTCGAGTCTTGGGCAGATTGGCATACGCTTCAGCCCACAACTGGCGGTTAAACTCAGCATGTTGGGCCCGTTTTTGAGCCTTTATGGCTCGAGCAGATAGCTTTTTCTCGGGCGCCGGAGCTGGAACTGGAGCTGGAGCTAGTGAAGGTGCCGTCGTCCCATCTTGTGCATGTGGTTCAGACTTTCCCCCAAAGTTTTCTTAGCATATTGCGCAAGACAGCGCCAAGGCCTAAATATAGGACACAATGAAACTGTAAAAATTCGAGAGCAGAAGAATCATACATCGACATGGGCCTCCCAATTATCATCCCACACATCCGGCAACTTTGCGGAGTCTCGTGCAGTCATGGTGGGAAGGTATAAAACGAGATCTGCACCGATAAAAATTTATGGTCATTTATAAGAGATTAAGGCGTATGCCCAATAGAAGTAGAATGGGGTTTGTATACAGGAGTTAGCTATGCCTTTGCTTCATTCGCCAAAGAAGAAATTGAAGTTGGGTTGAAAATGATAAATGCCAGCAAACGTGGGTTGAGTTACAGTGGGGGTGCTCACGTGATACTCCATCCAAGTCGGGATCTACTGCGGGCGGGGACATCTGCTGTGTCCATTTACACTCTGTGTACACTCTGTGACACATCTACTCTCATTCAAATACATTTCAGATTCAGTATCTCGGAGACTGTTATTCACACATATTCACGATGTCTACAGGTACATGGTTTAAAGGACTTCCCGAAATTCACCGCCCCAGCACACATAAACCCATTTGACAGCTAAACAATTCCTCGATAATACCTCCCACGGAAAGATTAACATATTATCTTAGATCCAGAAGGCGATTCTGAAATGCTCTCTACTTCCGAGTCTTCCCAAAGCAGCGAACCCCAAACCCCCACTGGCGGCCAAATCGCTGACGAAACCTCCAACTTCCCCAGCTCAGAGCTTTCCCCTCCAGGTTCGCAGGACGCCACCGGCGCAGAGCCTACAAAGATGGAGTACGGCGATGTCCAAACCGATTACGCAGCGGTCACTGCCTCACAACATATTACAGGTGATGGTGCTGGAAGCGGTGCCAGTTGGGACAATCAGAGCTCTGCGATCGCTCGGGCAGAGCCCGGCTCATCGTGGAACAATAAGAAAGCAGAAGAAGAATATCAGAGAGCTCTAGAAATAGTGGTGGATCGCGATTTCGGACTGAGTGAGTGGACAAAATTGCCACTGCTCTTGTCTTGAAGAATGCCTTCATCTTGCTGATTGATTTGTGAAATAGAAGAATTTGGGGATCCGTTTGATGATCGAGATATGGTAGAACAGTGACGGAATAGGAAATACCACGAGTGAGTGGACTGACTCCCTTGACTGGTCATTCAGATGGGTATGTATTCCATGCACTGTTGGGTTTTAGAAGCTGTCTTTGATACTGTGCCATCAGGGATCGCTTTCGTCCAAACACTAATAGTTCCGTGTCCTTCTTAGAACGAGTAAAATTGAATAATGATTATCCTCATAAATGGAAATCGGAACAGGCTTCAATCCGCAATGTAAATTGTGTTTTCCCCCTAGCGGTGATGTGTCGTTGAGAGGATAGTATGGATGAATGGCTAGCCCCAAGACCGGAACTTGACCCTATTTCACATATTTTGTCAACTCAGATTATCAGTGAGTAGTATGTTAAAGGACAGGCCAGATCTAGGGGATGTTACCGCGGTCCCTGTCCGGCGTTTCTGTCCCTTCGAGATGCGCAGAGTCCATAAGAGTGAAGCTCTCGGCTGGACATTCAGGTGATCCTGGTAGAGCCAGCTAAGGTACAAAACTAGGTACAGAGTTTCCACATAACGAAGGCGTAAATCGAACCTATACAATTCTTCCTGTGATTTTAAGCAAGCCTGTTCCAGCGTCGTAGCTCTTTTGTTAAACCGTCAAAGCCGCGGTTTGCTCATGTAATGTAGAGGCTGTTGGCCCAGCAACAACTACCGTAACCCTGAATGACACATTCAATTGGCGCCAACAAAGAACTTCACCATCACAAGAATCGTGTTCATTGATACTGCAGCGTGTTTTCTTATTCATGTTTTCTTACGTGCACATATTTACGGGATTTGAATATTAGGTATATTTAATATTCGCTGTACACTCCTTCATCCACTCAATATGCCCTCCGCTCGTTGGTAGGAAACTACGACACAAGAGCAATCAAACCCGTATCGCCCACCTCGTTGCGCCCTCACATCCTCCAAAAATGGATCTTTCTATTCCACCTTTTCCAAACCGGTATGCCATAAATCGCACTATAATTGTATTTGACATATATACCTTCTAGGCTCTTGTCGCGTTGGCGAGAAATCTCTGCCCGTGATTCACACTTCATGTTGTTTATAACTCCTCAATATCCGACTACATCCTGACTGGCTGACAATGCCTTTTTCCTTACGAATATAGGAGAAAAAGCCGACTATCATCGCCAACAGATCACTTCAAGTTCACTCCAATCGCTATATCAAAGAAAGCGCCCCGACTCTGGGATCGCAAACCCATGACTCCTTTCAACTCTCGCTCCAGGACTCACAAAGTCTGGAAACGTTTCCAGGCCTCTACATCCAATGATGTTGGTGGAGACGGACTCGGCCATGATGTGTTCCTTATTGAGATCAACAACTCATTTGCGCTTCGAGGCGTTTTAAGAGGAGTCAAAAGACGTTGCACTGCTGCTTGTGTTGGGGTAGAACGAGGAAGGTCCTTTCAGGAAACAAAATGGGAAACTGAGGATATGGGTACCCGACAACGTGAGGATTGTCTTATTTCTTATACACACTTTGTCTCTATTGGTGGTCAGCTTCAGGAGAAATTTTAGTGTTAATATGTAGACAGGAAAATGTGTCCCGAGGCCGGAAGTTCCCAGGTGGGAGAGCATTGAAGACGCATATATTGGCCCCGATGTTGATAACATACAATGCGACGAGAATTTTGATGAGCATCAGTGCGATGAACAGAAAGCTGTGGATCAAAATGATTTTGGTTTGGGTTTGTTAGCTGGGCAGTGGGGTAGCACATCGCCGGTCTCAGACCAAACTCTTGTCAATGATTTGTTGGATTCTGAAAAGACCACGGAGATTGCAGAACAGCACATAGATGGAGAATCAACGTCTATGCAAGAACCAAGCGGAATGCTGACCCCAGAAGATCTCGAGATTACCGACCACAGTACACCAGTTTCCCATCCCGATACAGCAACTGCAATCCATACTTCAGCAAAGATTGACAAAGCAACTGAGGAAGCAGCAACGCCCTTGTCAATCCCCCCCAGCCGACTATTGTTTCCAACCCTAGAGGGGGACGATGCCGATTTCATAACCGACTTCTTATCCCAAGCACAAGCCAAGCGTGCCGCCGCTAAATCTGTGCTGCCGAGCAAAGGATTAGAAACCGCTGTTTGGGAAAGCCAGGGCCGGTCTCCAACACCGCGCGCACGAAGAATTTTAGAAGACATTGATAAAAATTCCCCTACATCTCCAAGGCAACAAGTATCACCATCAAAACTGAGACAAATTTCAACATCGCCCTCCCCGAAATCCAGTGCAGCAAATCACGAACTCGAGGTCTTGCAGGAAGAGCTATGCCAAAACATCGGCGGAGAAGAGGAAGAATACCCACGACAACCGAGAGTAGGCTCTCCATGTCGAAGAAGTGCCCGCAAGACCCCCTCAAGAACTCTACGGAATGCCCCTGCCATACCGAACCATATCCCTTTTCGCCGTTCCAACGGAACCGAATTCGTATTTTTACAGCGTTCAGAGGAGCAACAGCTTTCTCTGGTGACCAAAGCCAACACTAGACGTAATAAAGGTGATGCTAAGTTCCCATGTTTCGTTCTTCAAGCGATCAATTCAAAAGAATATGAACCCATTTGCATCAACCACGGGGAGACGGGTGCGTCTGTTTCACCGAGGAAGTCTCCCCGCAAACGGATACGCATTGTGAAGAAGGTGATGTGGGACGATGAGCATCTGGTTCAGTACGAGGGTGAGACATACAATAACGATGAACAAAATGAGGATATTGGTCAGGCGAGCCATTCTCCGAAACTCGCCATCTCACAGTCCGCTAAACTGGAGGAAAAGAAGAGGAAGAATCCGAATCCCAATATTACCAGAAAGAACAGTAATAGCAGTAAGGCCTACAAATTATCCGTCCCAATCCATTCCGATCCGCAGTCGGTGAAATCACCAACGATAAAGAGGAGGGTGCCGAGGCTGGGGTTCTCAGGAAACAATGATCACAGTAACATTAGCCACAATAGTGTGGCCCCCACAGGTGTCGCTGCCGCTGCCGCTGCCGCTCCGGCATCTGGAAAAAAATCATCTGTTGCCAGGCATCCCGGGACGCCGATTCATAGAAAGAAACTTGCCCCGAAATCTCCGAAGGCAATTGTATTCAAGGTTTCCGATGACAGAGCTCCGAAGATGAGTACTGCTACATCAACCGATTCTGGCATAATTCCGCGTGTAATTTTAGCTCCTACTACACGTGCTACGACTAGGAAATTCAGCGGCTCGTGTTTGCCAAGGCATACAGGGAGAACAAAGGTATAGCAGCCTCGTCCAACAGGTGAGGGTAGGATGTGCCTACTTTGCTTTTTATTATGTATTTTTGTCTCTTTATTGTCTATGTTTAGCCTTTTGTCGCGTTTTTCTTCTTCGCTTTAGCCTGCAAATCCAAGATACCCAATTGAGATATTTTTGTCGTATCGTGTGTTTTACATTTTCAATTCAGGCGGGTTGTTACTCTTTATGAATTGGTTTTAATTCAAGCACTTGCAAAATATTATAAGAAAATTTTCTTCTTTTTGTTACTCGAGTGTTCGCATAGTTTCCCATTATCCATTATAATCATCCAGATTCCCGATAGTGCTCGATGAGTATGACGAACAAAAAATGCCTCTTCTGTGAGAGCTTGTTCCAGACAATCGATTCCTCACACTTTTACGGAAAAAAAAAAAAAAAAAAAAAAAAAATCTTGGACAATTCGCTCAGCAATTGCATATTGACGTCCCCTGACTGAAAACAAGCCCTGCTATATAAAAATGAAACAGAGTGCACACATCATACCCAAAGGTGTCCTTCATGTTCACACAAACCGCGCATGCCTTCCTTTTGCTGTTCATCCGTCAATTTAATTTCCTCGAGGTTACTCTCAATACGACCCGGGTTCGCAGACTTGGGCAACACCTGGACTAGCAGTGTGACCACATTCTTTTGCAATGACCTTGAGCGTCGGGTCCTCAACCACCTTCTCACCAGTCGTTGGCACTTGGTTTTGAGAGCGAAGGGGTATTCAGAATAGGCCTCTGGCAGGATGTTGTGTGCGGAGCAGTAGTTGATGAGTTCAGTGTTTGGCAGGAAGGGATGAATTACTTTCACAAGAGATTGGCCAATGGATCAAGAAGAGGCCAACATAGTCTAAGTTCAGCTTCTTGAGCGAGTCATTCAACGACCATTGTACTCCATCCTTATCGTATAGGTGGTTCCAGACTTTTGTGGTCACCCAGATATCAGGTCCTTTGACATTGTTGATTTTTCTCTTAAGAAGCCATAGATAGCCTGTCCGACCTCATCCTCGTTGAGATAGAACCACGCACAGTCTAGATGTCTGTGTCCAGTTCCTAGAGTGTGCAACGCAGCTGCGTAACTCTCGCCTTTGGTACACTCGTTGGCAACAGTACCAAATCCCAGACCAGTGATAGTAACGCCATTGCTCAATTTGAACTTGATATCGAGAGACAAATCTGTTTCCGATTGTTCGCTTTTGCTTCGTCTGGTTATTCGCCTATTTTTCGGTGTGTTGAGGCCCCCTTTCTCTTCTTTCTAGAAATCCGATTATGAGTGGGCGACTGCTTCCGTCAGCTGTCTCGTGGGATTTCGAAAGATAATAAAAGGGAGTGAGGAATTGAGCAGCTCTTCTAGTGGGAAAGACGCGAGAAAGTGGGACGCAGGGAGTGTGAAAGGGGAAATTGGAATAATCAAAAGCCCGCTGATGATTATGGATCGAGTAACAGTATGGAATTGGCTGTCTCATAGATTTGGGGGCTAAAGTACAGCCTTGCCTTTCCATTGTTCTTTTTTTTTCTGATAGTAGCCCTGCATTCTCTCCTGTTGGCCGTCTACAAGGATCGTTACTATATTCTCTACCTTCAATGATGGTATCCCAAAGCCCACGGACAATTCGCTCAAGATTTCATTGAAATTTTTTTCAGTGTGTTGGGTTTGGAAATCAAGCAGGAGTTTTTATTGGTTTCTTGGCATTATTATGAGCGGCCTCATCAGTGCAGGGTAGTCGGAGGTTCCCAATGTTTTTAAGATACCCCACATTATTTCCCCAGCTACGCGTCGCGTTATCCACATTAATCCAGGGAATATACGCAGTAGTATGTATGGAGTCTGCAGGCAGCGAGCGTTGACAAACCCGCGCCTATCTAACCATTCAGGACGCTTGCAATCACCACGATATTATTACATTATTGCCATCCTGGAAATGGCCAGATATTCCGCAGAAACAAGCAAGCCTTCTCACACAAGTCCCCGTTTAATAACGTTGATGGACCCAGACAAGGCTAGCAGTTCTCAGGGAACAAATGTAGATTTTTATCTGTGGTTGTTAACTTTCAGAGAAATATCTGTAAACAGCCTCACCAGCCATGGGTAGAGGGTGTCTAATGTAAGAAAGTCTCCACTGCGTATCCTGCATCCTTGATTATATCACAGAATTTCTTTTGTCTGTGGTCTTTTCACCCGATTCGGCTGCGAAGCTAAAACAGCTTAAGCTCAAGCGCTAGAAAATAAAGTTTTTCGCGTGAACCACGATGAGGTCATAACCAAGGAGGTTAAATTGTCGTTGGTTAGTGCCTGGCATTTAAGGTTAAAATGCAGCTAACGCGTCTCATTGATCCGTGCAACGGATCCACATGGGCGCAACCTGCGGGGTCCTTTGACCTCCATCGCTATAATTTTCTCTTTCTTAGAAGAGATAATTGATAATGTGAATTCAGTGAAGTTTAAGCTTTTCAGAGATGTCTTCGTGTTTCCTCTCCATCATACGATTCGACAGGCCCACAAAACTGCAGCATAATAATGGACGTAAAACTTCAATTTTCTGGGTGCACAGATACCATCTCTCAATATCTCTCAAGGGAAGGTTACCCGTGGTGTTGTTGCTGGTATTACCGATCCATGCAGCCATATCCGTAAGAAGGGGTGCCTCTTGTTAGCCATTGGCTCTGATAGCTTGTTGCAGCATCGCCACTTCGACGTCAGAAACACATAGCGACTCCTGTGGCTATCCTGATTGTTCAGGGGCATCTGTTAGTCTTCAATGGCTAGAAAAAACTCCTTTCGCACGTCCATAGCGATTGAGTGGTACATGGCTGCGTGGTAGCACTGACAATGAAATGCATTCTATCGTTATGCAGAGTATGATATCAACATTGCTCGCTTTCTTGGGTGCCTAGGAAGTGTTCTGTTCCCCGTCCAGGAACCCAGATCCAACAGGCCCGCCTTTCTCCGAGCAGATCCCAGCGAATAGTCACTCTCTTTCCTACATTGTTGCGGTAGTAATTAGGGCGGAAGAAGAGCTACCGGTAGATCCTCTGGGAGGTGCATGTTGTGCACGTTCCCGAACTTCGATTGTTTTGCACAGGAACCAAGGATTTTTACCTGAAGATGCATAATTGCCTCCCGGAAGCTACCCATTGATAATATATGAACATATGAGAGCCAGAATTCGCAGATTTATCTTGGCTGTTGATGTTCTTTTGCTCATTATCACTCTTCCTCTTATTTAAACTACTTCTATTTCACAATCAGATATATATTTTATCCAGTTGCCAATATTGACAGGTACAGAAGATTTGCTATTTTGACATAGATTGCCTCTACCCACAAACATGTATCGGACTTCTGAGACTGATATCATTCTCTCTCCCAAGGAAGTCTCAAATGGCGAGATCGCTCAAAAGGAAGCGTAGAAGGAAATCCAACTACCATCCGATCTTCAGAGTGGCAATGCTATCGAAGTTCCACATCGAAGGGCTCAATCAGTGATGCGGGTCATCTCATGCACAACTTGAGCATATTCCCATCAATGAAATTCAGAAGATCGTGTCGGAACTCCTTGGTACCTCCCTCCGCATTCCCAGATCACCCCGGGCTTCAAGGGCTTCGCTGGGTCCAGATGCCCTCTATGCCCTGCGAGATCGAGGATATCTCCATAGAAAAGGTCAAAGCAATCAAAAGAGTATGGTTTTGCATTCGACATCAACGGCGTCCTTCTCCACGATGATAAAATCACTCCAGAATCTCGCCGGGTGAGGGAACTCCTCAAGATAACAAACTTGGTATCAAAATCCCGTATATGCTCCTTACAAATGGCGGTGGCAAGACCGAAGTAGATCGCACAGAACAAATATCTTGCATCCTAGCTCTCCCATCTCCACCGCACAGTCCATCCAATCCCACACGCCCATTCAAGCTCGTGCCGAATAGGGTTTCGCGACCTGCGCTGCCGCAGAGGCGTACGGATTCAGAAAACATCGTCGTCCCAGGACACCCTCGCCTGGGGCCCCAGCATCTCTCCTCCCTGGAGAAACTTTACCGAGAAGGACCACAAGCAGGCCAGACCACAGGACTTCGACAATGTCACATTCGATTCCATTCTTGTTTTCGCCGACTCGCGCGACTCGTGCGACTTTGCCACCGATTTCCAGATAACGATGGATCTAATTAACGGCGAACAGTCGGAGATGATATCTCGTATATCAAGGATCCTGTAACATCTCACTATTTGATACATTCAACGTTTCAATATACGAAACGGAACACTGCCTCGCTCGTATAATCGAGAATATCTTTCCTTATAAATACTGCCTGATTATCATGTAATTATTGGAGTTAGAATAAATCAATTCAATTTTATCTATCGATATTCAGTATTTGGGTCAATATTCGGACTTTATCCAGTTCCGACACAATAACTCGCTAGCCAAACAGATGCCCATCCACTTCTTGCAGGGCGATATCATCTTCCAAACAGACCACAAGCTCCTGCGGATGACCCAAGGTCCCTTCCGCATCGCCCTTGAAACGATGTACAAGTCACTCACGACGGATATCTCGAGCAGTAGTCTACGTCAAGCCTGAGCTACAAGCTTGCAGATGGAGTCACTATGTTGTTGTCTATATGATTGGTGGCACCCTCTGACATCATTGGTGGGACCGGCGTGTTCCAGGGTAGATGAGAACAATCCAGCCAACTTTGGCGTATTCGACCATCAAGCTTCAGTGGGGTGAGAATGAGGGGGTCAAATCTGCTATTTAATCGACGCGGATTGAAGAAAACAATAATTCTGGAAACAAATTTTTTCCCCTCTACTAGAATTTCTATATCTTTTCACTTTGTTCTTTCCATTCCTCTCCTTCTTTGCTTCTGGCATCTAGGTAGATCCTGGATTTTTCGATTCTAGAGTTTCTTTTTCCTTCTGATCTCCTTTTTCCATGTTCACTAGTCTTCGCTTTTCTTCTTTGGGTATTAGGCATTGCGCCTCTCGTCAAACCATGGACGGATGAGGGTATTCCGAATCATTTCTATATTTCATTTTCTCACTCATGATATGAATGCATAGATAAACAGTGCGGATTGGCATTGCCGCCACTAGAAATTCAATTGCCACAATGAGGGATGTAGTTCCTGGTGTGATCATTCGAGTTTCGCTTACCCTCTATTCCCACCCTACTTTACGGGTTGCCAATATGAGAATTTCGCCCTTGTTCTTTGCTTTGAAAACTAAACCTATCAAAAGTCGTGCCTTGCCTACCCTGACCGCTATCCCTCCTTGAACGGTCAGAAACATCCTATATCCTGCTGTGTCTCCAGATATTATGGCTTTGGTTGTCCATGAAAGTGCCAGATCGTCCGATTGAAAAAGGATATTTCAACCCAACATGAGGCTGTAGTTCGTACCCCTACATAGCACGTAATTCCAAGGATTTCTTGGGCGTAATCACTTCCCAGGATTGGAATAGTTCTCCGGCCTCCCCATTCCCCTAAACTCTCGACAAGCCCACTTTGCATACGTTGTAAGAACTGGGCAGGCTTAGGCTTGGCTTGCATACCGGGGAGGCGTGCGGCTATATTCCTGGATCAAAAGCTACTTTCCCTACGCCGAGATCATGAGCCATGAACATGCTTGATCAATTTCAGCTGAAAGGTAATAGAAGACTTCTTCATCCGCATACCGGCACGGATCCAGCGGATGAGGACAAGAGCGCTGCCAGGAATCCCATAAACACCCCAGTATTCTCACGGACAGCTATCCTGATTTCCACGCTACAGCCGTGCATGCCCCTTTCCCCATATTCACTTATCCGTGACGACAAACATCGAAGGCGTCCACCACATAAGAGCCAACAGTGGGATAAGTGTAGTCAAGAGGTATATATATTTTGGAATACTGGCGAGACCTCAATTGAAAGCGGTGGTTATACTCAAGCACAAGAATCCATTGCGGCCAGTGATGAGGAACCCAATCCGTGGTAGTTAAAGGGTGATTGGTCCACTGTTCTGCAGTATTCTCTCTCTCGAGAGAGAGACATATACTCCGTATATCTCACGACTCGCCTCTGGTCTGTGCTACAGATTCTCGTCTGGGATCCAGGAGCACGAGGTCCCCAATACACCGCCTGGGGGTTGACCGACAACTGGCCTGCGATGGTAATAGCAAGCTGGTATTTCGGGAGGAAGAAGCCATTCCACCCACTCCTCATATAAAATGACAAGACTTAAATGATGTGCACTAAGGGTCATTCTCTTTTTCGATCTTGTCACGAATGTGTATCGCGGGAGGAATATCAGATATTCGATATCCATTCGGCATTAATTTTCCTATACAAATGGTAACTACAGTATGAGAAATAACACGCATATGTTTTTGTTGAGGTACCTTGGCTGTACACCGCAACCCGCCCCCAACGCCGCCAAGGAGCAAGTATTCCACAGGTTTCTTTGTGCCCGCCGCGCCGGGTTACACCTGGCATGGAGATCTGCAGCTGGTAGCTTGGCCAGGCAAGCTCGGCGCTTTTCCCAGGTTCGAGTTACAGCAAAACGATACAAAGATAAATAAATAAACCGTCCTTGTATTGTGGTAGGACTCTGAGGACAGCATTAGAATTCGCCTTTATTCAATTCGTTGAATATCCGATATTATTTGGATACATGGCATTGACAATCATAACTTATAGCTAAGATAGTTAACTATTATGTCATCATGACCTCAGCCCGCTAGTCTCGTCAAGAAACTTTTCTGGCAAAACTCAAAACATGAGTAGGGTTCTTTTGCACTAAGCGGTAATATCTCCCGCTCCCTCCCACACCGATTTCTATTGGGATTGTGTATCACTATCGTCGCTTCTTCTTCTATCTCGTTCTATTGACCATCCCTTATTGCGCTCCATCGATTTTCCTATGCGCCGGTAACCCACAACTAGTCTTACCCCCCCGCTCCATCCCCACGTCGAAACAGACTGGGTACGGCGATATAATACCACCGCTGCGGATATTCCACCCCTGCTCCGCCGAGAGGGCAATCTGTGACTAACAGCAACGGCTGCGACTGGTCGCTGGATGCTAGATGCGCGTGTCGTAACAAACAAAAAATCAAAAATTACACCTTATTCGCCCCCAGAAATCCTTGTTGTGTCCCGTGACCCCGCCGAGCCGCCCCTGTACCGTACCGTTACGGTACTGTCGTATTGCCAGCGTTCCAACCGTCCACTGCCGAGACCAACACCGGTAACGAGTACGTATGGGTAACATTCCCCCATTGTCAGCTCCTAAATCTCCTCCAGCTCGGTGCCAGCGCCTGACTTAGTCTCCGCATTGCCCTCAACCACCTCGCTCTCATTCTCT